GGAAAGAAAGATAGAAGGAAAGAGAAAGGAAAGAAGGAAAGGAGATAGAAAGGAAGAGAAGGAAAGAATGATAGAAGAAGGGAAGGGAAGGAAATTAGTAGAAGGGAAGGAGAAGAGAGGATAAATTTTGCACAAGGGGAGCCCATCCAAGGCCAGGGCAACCGCGGAAAGGCTGGGCTTCCCACGGGTGAGCGCCTGAGATTAATCCCGTGCGCCTCCAAAAGCAGCTTTGATTAACTGCCACGCAACAATCTTGAGAACATCCGGCAGGCGAGGAACAGTCAACCTTTGGGCAAGTCACGATCCGGACATCTGTTGATGAATTTTGGATGAGCCGGGCCACGTGGCTGCCGAAAGGGGCCCTGAGGTCAGGACTTCACGCGCACATGCAGGGTTTGCTGCATTAACTCACCACGTTCACACAACATACATGGGACCACCATTCACCAAACAGTCTGGCTTTTGGAAGGCCCAGAAAGATGAGCCAAGATTAATAGATAGTGGCTGGTAGGACAGCACTCCAGAGGGTGAATGTCATGGCCCAGAGGATCCTGGGTTGCCCTCTCCCCTCTTTGGAAGAGCTTCAGAGCTCCCGCTGCCTTAAGAAAGCTCAAAACATCCTCAAAGATCCATCTCATCCTGGGAATCCTTTTTTTGAACTATTATCACCTGGCAGACGATACAGGATAATAAAAACAAGGACAAATAGGCTGAAAAACAGCTTCTATCCCAGGACAGTAACTCTACCGAATTCTACTGTATAGTGCAACATCAATGCAATATCAGGGGTTTTTAATTCAATGTATAGCATGCGAAGGACGTGTGCTTGTATTTTATTTCCACAGTCATAAATTGGACACTGAAGATGGTATTTAATTTTGTTGCACGAGGGACAATGACAATAAAGTCAACGAAACTAAACATCACCCACCCACTTGGTGGCCAGGAGTCTTTCACTGCCCAGGCCGAGTGTGTGTTCTGTGAACTCCACCTACTGGTTACGTTTGTGCAAGACAACCAACCTAGTCAGGCGCTTTGCCAAGCACAGGGAGTCCTCCACTTATGACAGTTTGTTTAGTGACTGTTCAACGTTACAATGGCACTGGAAGGAAAAAAAAAAGGGACTTGGGGACCAATTTTCACACCTACGACCGTTGCAGTGTCCCCGTGGTCCAAATCCAGACACTTGGCCACTGACTCGTATTTATGACGGTCATGACATTTCTCCGGGGGGAGGGTTGTCACATGATCCCCTTTTGCGACCTTCCAACGAGTGAAGTCAACGGGGGGGGGGGGGGAGCCAAATTCACTTAACAACTGTGTGACTCTCTGAACAACTGCACTGATTCACTTAACAGCTATGGCAAAACTCACTTAATGAACGTCTTTCTTAGCGATGTAAACTTTGGGCTCCATTGTGGTCATTAAGTCGAGGGCTACCTGTAAACCCTTATCCCTCTTCATCAGAAAACAAACCATTACCAACATCTTAATCAAACGGGAAGCTGTTCCTTCTCACACCTTTAGCACTGGTGGAAAAAGGGCTAAGATAGCATCTCTGCTACAATCTATATATATCTATATAAAAACGAAATACCACTCAGGCATCATCACAAAATCTCCAGAACTGTAAAGCCTACAAACTTGAAATTTGGCACCTATGTTCCTCTTGGCTTCTAGGTGCTCACTAAGAAAGGATTTTTCCAAATGACCCTCAGAGCATTTAGAGTATTTCTTATATTATTATTATTATTATTATTATTATTATTATTATTATTATTATTATTATTATTA